AACTGGCGTCGAGTTGAATGGACTTATCACTGATCGATCAAATGACACACCAGTAGTCCATCCGTCCAAAAATATTTGACTCCATTAACTTTTTTAAACATGTTTAACCATTCGTCTTATTAAAAAATTTATATAATTATTATTTTTCCTATCATTTAATTTATTGTTAAATATACTACTACTATTCAAGTTTTTAATAATATTCTTAAAAGTTTTTAATAAGACGAATGGTCAAACATGTTTAAAAAGTTAACAGAGTCAAATATTTAGGACAGAGAGGGGTATATTTTCTTTAATAGATGTAGTGTATATATATATATCTCCCCCAGACTGTTGACTGGTTGTTAAGCTCTCTAGCTATATGGATTAGTATATATACGAAGTACATAGCAAGATGTATGGAAGACTTCTCCCGCGATCCTTCTAGCCATGAGGCCATGACGACTATGATCTACTTGAACATGTCGCCGTTAGTGATCAAGAGAGTGAGATGGAGTACGGATCCATTAATTGACTTGGCCTGCATGTGTGCGTGCGTGGGTGCAGTCGATATCCAGTAATTAGTCTCTCCAGCTTATTTACTTTGTTTAATTGCCGAGTTCGTAGTTGAACTTAATTATCTTAATTAAGCAGAGCGACGACATGCATGTTAATTAAGTTTCGAGTACCAGGTCATATGGAGCGCGTTGAGGCGGTATATACCATAATATATCAACACTGATAGTGGGTAGTGGCCATTGATAAATTGATTTGAGCCATATGGCCGGGTAGCTGTACGACAGGGCAACACGGCTGGCAAATGCCTGCCGAAAGTCAGCTCGTTATACTGATCCAGTCTGTGGGCTTCAGCAAGTTTCAACAATTACAAAACCAGCATATTATACTGATTATTGAGCTTGCAAATTAAAATTAAGCACAATCATATGGACATGTGGCGAGATGGGTTAGGTACTTAGGTTCCCCAACGTCCAATATATTAAATGACTGCTAGATAGTAAAAATAATTTTTAATTAGTGTTTACGACAGGTAAAAAAATCATCACTTAATAAATCTAAAACAAGAGGTATGTTTATCTCTGAGATAAATAGCACATCTCACTCCTAGCTTTAATGCTCACAGCGAGCTCTGTTCCTTCTTTCATCTTCAGAAATATATCTTACAACCTACAAACCTATCTATCTACCTGCTGACTCCGTTCAATATAGAGCCATTTTGGTTTGATAACAAAAACATGCCCTACCAATTTGTTAACAAAATAAATAGTACTAGCAATATGCCCGTGCGTTGCAACGGGTGAAAATGATATTAATATTAACAATAAATAAATACTAATAATTAAAATTTAAGTATCACAACATAATAATTTTATTTTTTTTCTAAATTTCTTGTTGGTTCCACTTAGGAAAAAAAAGAAAAGAAAAACAAAATCAAAGTGCAAAAATATTCCTAAATCATAACTCCATTAGGCTGAGAAGATAAAAAATAATTAAATATTCTAACTAAACTTCCCGTTGGTTATATTTAGTTAGAAATAAATTAAAATACGTCTATAAAATTTACTGCAATTTTATAGCTTGAAATGATGACTCAAGGTGACTAAAATTATTTATTATTAAATAAAACAATAAGTGATTTTAGGGTGAAAATAAATGAAAAATGAATTTTTTTGCCCAGAGGCTGGTGTCGGCCCAAACGGCATGCCAGCCCGTGGGGCGCGAGGCACGGCTCGTCAAGCATGTGGGTGAGCTTATGAGACCTTGACGCGGGCAAGCGCGTGTGGACCAATTCGCTTATGCAGGCTCGACGTTGGGCCGATCTGAGCCGTCCGATCTGATGGATGGCTCAGATTGGTCCCGCGCCGATGAAATCGCCAGCCGGAAGGGGGAGGGGTCTAAAAACCCTAACCCTAATCCCCTTTCTCCCTTACTCTCCCGGATCTAATCTCCGGCGACACGAGGGAGTGGACGGCAGCGATGGTGGTGACGACGGTCCGTCGTGGTGAAGCATGCACGCGGCTCTGGCTTCGCCGGCTGGGAGGCCCGCCCGAGGTCGGCGCCAAGCCAAGCCATGGCGTCGGCAGTCTGACAAAGCGGGCGTGCAAGTGGCGACGGGCGCCGAGAACACTCGGGCTTGGTCGCCCGGGGGGGGGGGGACGGAGCCAGAAGGCGGCACTAAGCCAACGCTTGATGTCCCCAGTGAGGGACAGTGGAGGAACACCTAGATGGCACGCGCACGGGGAGTCCAACGTGACCGCGAGGAGGTGAAGGGCAGCGGTCCCGCTTCCCGGTGAGACCCAAATAGCGGTGGGGTTTCCCGGTAGAATTAGGGCTCCAAATCCGGTAAGAATCCAAACTCGGACTTAATTTTCTTAATTTGATTTGGATTTGGATTTGATTCGGATTTTGAGGCTTAGTGTTCTTTTCAATTTGGGGATTTCGGGAAAATTGAAACCGATTTATCTCATTCTTCCCTACCCTTAATTTCTTAATTATACTGCTAAGTGAAGCTTAATTGGACATAAAACTTAAACTTAAAATAAGTCTAAACATAGCAGTGCATCATGAACCCTAACTCAATCTTATTAACTTTAATTGAACATGAACAATAGCTAATCTTCACTAAGCAGTAAAGATAAGAATTTAAACAGATTAGAATAAACTTATTTGACTCAAAATTGTTCATGTCGAACCAAGATGGCACCGATGGCTTCTAATCACAGGGATAATGTGAATAAGGAAGTAGGCTAAATTTAAGCTCCGATACCACAATGTTGGAGTTCTAATACAAGATCTAATAAACAATCACCTTTCAATTACGAAAATTAATTCTCTGACTGAGATGAAGCCATTGAAGCCGATGTCTGGTTTTGCTTTTGGTTGGTTACCTCTTCTCAACACCTTTTCACCTTTTTATTTGCACTGCTGGAGCTCGGGGGCAATCCGGATAGAATTATTAGTTTGTTACCACTGATCACGCGGTAACATTTAAATCTTATCTCTTATCTTCTTATTTGTTTACTTATGATTAGATTTATCCTTGATTTTGCGCCCTTACAGTTTCTATTTGAGCTTGATGGTGGGCCTGGCTTTTTAGATTAGGAAACGAATATGATTACTGCCCAAAAAAAATTGATTAACGAAGCTGATTCCATGTGCGATGGATGACGGACGAAAATTTTCGCCGAAAGCGTTACGTATTTTTTATTAGGTACAGATGTGTGCTAGTTTTGATTGAGACTAAATATTTGACAGTGCCCCTCTCCTATTTGATCATATCTACCATAAGAATTTAGCTTTATCCAAATGTTAACTAAATAAATTTACCCTACCAATATTTTGATAGTGCCAAAATTTACCTAGATTTCGACACTACTAATGAATTGATAGGGTAAAGAGCCAAATAAGCTTACAAGCCCATAGAACCCAGGCCCTGTTTGGATCATTTAGTCCCCGGACTAAAAACTTTAGTCCCCTACTGTTTGAATCCAAGGACTAAAAGGGACTAGAAGCACGTGGACCGAGGAGGAGAAGAGAGAGGCTGCCACTTTGGTCCCTATAAGTTCTCTAATAGGGACTAATGGATAGATTTTAGTCCCAATATATACTTTTAGTCCCTTTTAGTTACCCCTATTTGAATTCTTAAGGACTAGTATAGAGGGACTAAATAGATTAGTACCGTGAACCAAACAAGGTATAAGGTAGTGCAGTATTCTCGACTTGTCGTGGAACGAGACCGAGAGAAGATGCCCAAGCCAATCGCTAGTGGCTTCCGTCTCAATGCGTCCCGTGAACCAAACAAGGTATAAGGTAGTGCAGTATTCTCGACTTGTCGTGGTACGAGACCGAGAGAAGATGCCCAAGCCAATCACTAGTGGCTTCCGTCTCAATGCGTCGTTCTCTGTTCCGTTGCCGTCCCACAGATCACCGGATGTGCTGGGTGTGGAGGAGGGGAATAGAGAGAGAGTGAGAGGAAGATAATAGATTGAGGTTTTTTATTTTTTTTTCTATGTGGCTGGCAGGTGGATCCAGTAGTTTTTTTTATTTTTTATGATAGAGTTATCACTGACACGTGCATCTCATTACATATTTAATTATATTTTTTACTGGCTAATTACACATAAGCGCCATGTCTAATGAAGATAACTCAGCAAGGTTAGTATGTGCCACGTCAGCTGAAACCAGTCCAAAATCCCCAAGGGAACTGATTTGCATTGGTTTAAAAAATTGTAGATGTTCTGGACCTGGTTTTACGGTAGTTAGTGCGAATCAAATTTGACCCATGGGTAAGGGTTATAAATAGACTTTTTTATCCCAGACAGAGACAGATGTTTAGCCCGCAAACCAGCAGGCCGCCCACTTTTCTTGAGGGTTTGGATTCTGCTGTTCTGGCCTTTCTCGTTCGGCAGCTCTTCCTCGACCGGCCGCTACCGTACAGAAGAAGATGGAAAAAGTGCACCAAAGGTCCCTCAACTTATCAGCGAGATAAAAAACGTCCTCGAACCGCAAAACCAGATAGATGGGGTCCCTTAATTATACAAAACCGGTCATCCGAGATCCTTCGGCGGTTTTGATCCCAGTTTTGTTCTACGTGACAGCTAAGTCAGCGTGGGACCCATGTGGGCCCCACGTGTCAGCCAACCACTCTCTCTCCCCTTTTCTCTCCCATCTCTCTCACTTCTCTCCTCTCGAGCAAGCCGGGGCGGGTGGGGAGGAGGTCGCAAGGACGGCCGGCGGCGGCGGGAGCACGAGGCGACGCAGCCAGCGACGCCGCGGCAATGGGAGCACGAGGCGAGGCGGCGGGAGCACAAGGCGACGCGGCCGGTGCGGCGGCAGCGGGAGCACGAGGCGACGTGGCCAGCGACGCGGCGGCGGGAAACAAAATGAGAAACAAACAGACGAAATCCAATCCAACACACACAAAAAAAAACATTTTTTCCCCTCTTCTGCTGTCACAACTCACTAGCAAAACAAGCCAAGAACACGGCAAACAATGGCGTCACTTATTTACCTACATCGGCAAACAAGCCAAGAACATGGCAAACATCGGCAAACAGTGGCATCCGCTGCACGAGCTGGATCCCGAAGTGGTTGAACGCGATGGTCACCTGCATCGCCGAGTCTGGCAGGTACTCGTCGCTGTGCCCCAACAACATCACCTCGTTGTGGTGCGAGAAGTAGCTATTCGACACAATGATCGCCGTCGACCCCATGATGGCGTCGATGAGCCCGTCGGCGCACCGCGACAGCGCACAGTGGTCCACCCACACGTCGCGCGCCGAGTAGAGCGAGATGCCGTCGCCGTCGGAGTGGGTGCACCACCCGTAGTGCGTCGGCAAGGCGTGCACATTCGCGTTGCCGGCGGGGACACAATCATGGATGTGGATGTTGTGGATGATGACGTTGGAGACGTACTGGAGCGTGATGCACGCGCCGCCGGTGCCGGCGCCGTGACGAGGAGGAGGAGCAGGTCCTTGCTCGCTACCTCGTGGAATCCCGAGGGAGTCTGCTCATGGTGGTCAGACTAGCTAGCGGGCGTCGTTAGAATTTTCCGACGTCGGAGTTCCGAGGGACGGCGGGAGACCAGAGGCAGGCGGTCGTGGATGCGGCGCCGCCCCGGCTCCCGCCGCCTTGTCGCCGGCCGCGTCGCCTCGTGTTGCCGCTGCCGCGTCGCCGGCCGCCCTAGCGATCTCCTCCCCACCCGCCCCGGCTTGCCCGAGAGGAGATAAGTGAGAGAGAGATGGGAGAGGAGGGGAGAGAGAGAGTGGTTGGCTGACACGTGGGGCCCACGTGGGGTCTACGCTGACTCAGCTGTCACGTAGACTAAAACCAGGATCAAAATTGCTGAAGGATCTCGGGTGACCGGTTTTGTATAGTTGAGGGACCCCACATATCTGGTTTTGCGGTCGGAGCACGTTTTTGAATCCCGCTGATAAGTTAAGGGACCTTCGGTGCACTTTTTCCCAAGAATATTGGGCATGCAGGCCGAATCCGCATATACGCCTAAGCATGAATGGCCTGTTATGTACTTATGTTGGCTAGGCTTGACCCGTTCACTTCGGAGCCATTCTAGGGTCCATCCGTTGGAAAAAGTACACCGAAGGTCCCTCAACTTGTCGCCGAGTTACAAAATCGTTCCCCTAACTACAAAACCAGATACCGGGCGTCCCTCAACTAACAAAACCGTTCACTTCAGGTCCTTCAGTGGTTTTGACTCTAGTTTTGTCTGACATGGCGGTTGAGTCAGTGTGGGACTCATGTGGGCCCCACAGCCACATCAGCCTCCTCTCTCTTTTCCTCTCTTCTCTCCCTTCATCTCTCTCTCTCTCTCACTTTTCTCAGCGTGTGGTGTTAGGCCGAGAGCGTCATCGTCATCGAGGGAGCAGCCTAATCCCGTTCTCAGTGACCGCCACCGCCGCCGCAGGCTAGTAGTTGTCGAGCAGCATCTTGATGTCATCCAGGAGCGGCGCCTGCTGCATCACAGCCGCCGTCGTCGCAGCCGTCGGTATCAGCTCGGCGTCGCTGAACACCATGTAGTAGGCGGCTGTCGACCTCGACACTACCGCCGCCACGGCCGTCGTGTTTAGGAATCAGGAGACAGGCGACGAAGTAGGCACCGCCGTGTCGCAGGAGACCGCCTCGATGATGGGGTTCTCCTCTGTCGCCGCCGCTGCCACCTCCGCCACTGCACCCACGTCCGAGCTGGCCTCTGTGTCAATGGTCATGGCCTACACCACCGCCGGCCCTGACCCTGACTCCTCCTTGGTCGCCACGTCGTCGAGCTTGATGAACGGGACCGCCTTGGTAGCCTCCGCGCCGGCGACATCGGAGGAGTTGGAGTAGTGGGTCGTCGGGGTTGTGGACCATAGCAAGGAGTGTGAAGGCGATGACGCCCGCCACAAAGAGCGTGAAGAGGAGGTTGCCCCCCAACCGTAGCGCGGAGGTCGATCCCGATCTCGATCCTGGCGCCACCGCGTCACCGCGATGCCAATAGCGTCCCTGGTGAGAGAGAGAGAGAGCGCGCGAGAGGGATCTGAGAGTGGGAGTTGCCGACAGCGCGGCTCCTCGTGGGCGGCGGGAGAGCCCGCACACCGCTCCTCCCCGCCCCCCACGCGCCACTGTCACGCCCTGAAGTTTTCCCCTTTTTTTTCCTTGCTTTAAAATTTTGTTAAATAAATCGTCCAAAAAATTATCTTAATTAACCTAGAGCTAAATCCCTAATTAATAAAGGCAATTAATAATTGGAATTGGCAATGTGGGATTTTTCTTGAGTTCCACATGTCACAATACATTAACGGGATTTTTAGTGGAATTTTCAGAGCCTTAGAAATAATTTTAACCAATTAAAAATCACCAAAGTGTAATATTTAATCCCAGGAAAATCCTTTTCCTCCTTTTCTTTTCTTTTCCTTCCTTTTTCTCTAGATGGGCCGTCGGCCCATCTCTCTCCCCGCGCTCGGTGCCCCTTCCTGGGCCGGCCCGCTCCTCCCTTCCCCTCCCCGAAGTCCTCCCTCCCTCCCTCCCTTTCTCTTTCGGGCGCCGACAGGTGGGGCCCACCTGTCAGTCGTCCCCTACCTCCGGTCGTTGGAGCCAGAGCTCCAACCGCCCGCGCCGCCGCCTTCTCCACTCCACGTCGCGCCTCCACTCCGCGCCCGCACCTCGCGCCCATGTCGCCGCCCTCTCCCCCGCATCTCCCGCGCGCGCGCGCCCGCAAGTGGTGGGGGATTTGAAATCCCCCAACACCCTCTCTCTCTCCTCCACCTCTCCACGTTGTCGCCGGCCAAATCAGCCAACTCCCCGGCCACGTCCGCCCCTCCCTCGCCCATAAAAACCCTCACTCGAGCTCTCTCTCTCTCGTTTCCCCCATTCACCGTCCTCTCCCACGCCCTCTACCGCCGTCGCGCCGCGCTCGCCGAGCTCCGCCGCCGCCGCCCATCTCCGGCCGCGTGCCGTCGCCGCTAGGGCCGCCGCCGCGCCAAGCCGCCGCCGCCGCTAGCTCCGCCGCTGTGTGGGCCATCTCGGCCACCGCCTCGCGTCGCCGGAACCCCACCGGAACCCCATCTCCCTCACGAGCCGGTGAGCTATCCATTCCCCTCCGTCTCCGGCCGGCCACTTTGGTCGTCGCGGTCGTCCTCTCCATCCCTAACTCATCTCCTCCCCTCCTCTAGGTGTCGCCGCCGCTCGTCCGCCCTTCCTCTCGTCGGGTCGTCGTCGCCGCCTTCGTCTTCCGCTTCGGCCGCCGTGTCGCCGGTGAGTCCTCCCTCCCCCTTCTTTCCTCACCTTCCCGCGACGCCGCTGCTCCGGCCATGCGCCGCCGCCTTTCGGCCGTCGCCGCCGCTTCCCGCACCGCCGGTCACCGCCGTCGGTGGCCGTGCCTCGCTGCTAGGGATGGCAATCGGGCGCGACGGGCACGGGTAGTGCCTACCCATACCCATGCCCGTGAGATTATTTGTGCCCGTGGGTATACCCATTACTACATGACGGGTAAGGATGGTTGCCCATGCCCATTGCCCGCGGGCGCCTTATGCCCGCGGGCGTGCCCGTTTACCCGCCACAACAAAAGCAGTGGAACAAAAAGTCTACAAGCTACTAAGTTCGAATCGAACTTAAAACATCAAATATTCTCCACCTCGGTGTCGTGTCTCTCCTCTGGCGGCGATAGAGTAAGAGGAGAGAAATAATAAGGGAAATAAAAGGGAAACCGAAGAAAACAAAGAACTGGGCTTATGTATTCTAGTGGATTTTGCTCCTAGCCTACATGTAAGTTAGATTTCGCGGGTAAACGGGCAAAGCGGGCATGGGTAGTGATTACCCATACCCATGCCCATTTACCCATCGGGCATAGCTTTTGACCCAATAAGATACCCATGGGTATAAAATGGAGAACAAACCCAACCCTAATAGGGTTTTTACCCGCGGGTAAACGGGCAAACAGGCACAATTGCCATCCCTACTCGCCGCCGCCTCGCCTTGGTCGGTCGGTCGGCCTTGAGGCCGAGCCGAGCCCGACCGGCGCCTTCCTCGCCTCCCCTTTGAGCCACCGCCTGGTGGGGCCCACCCGCCAGGCGCCACCTTCCCCCCTTTGGAGTCGCTGACCTGTGGGGCCCACTTGCCGGCGCCGCCCCCCCCCCCCTTGGCTGACGTTAGCCCTGGGTATTATTGTGCAATAAATTGATTAAGGACTTTTTCTTTATTAGTAAAAACACAATTTATCTTCTAAAATTCATAGTTAATTCATCCGAGCTCCGTTTACGTCCATTCAAGTCTCAGTAAATTCATAAAAATGCAAAGAATCCATTAAAAATTGTTTTGTTTCCTGTTTCAGTAGTCTTATAGCATGTTTTGCTTGTGTGCTTTGTTTGTCGCGTAGATTTCGGCCGTTTCGTCGATCCGCGGTTTCTCAAAGACGTTGCTGAGGTCTCATCAGTGCGAGAGCAAGGCAAGTCATGCATTACAATTGATCATATTGTACCCAATTTACAAATATCCCGCATTTCTATTAAATGTTGCATTCTTTTATAATGTCATGTGGGATGGGTCCTATTACTTAGCCATTTATTGTTTACCTTATGCCATTGATAACTTGGGTATCAAAATGATTAGATGTTGGTTTAGGAAATGCTTAGCCATGCTTAGCTCAACTAGTATACAAATGGGGATCACATTATTACATAGACTTTGACTATGAGCATAGTTTTGGATTGGTGCACCGCAATGGTGTTAGTTAATTAAAATACACTGAATGGTGGGCTGTGGGTGCATGGTTTTGCTAGTCGCACCCATGGCAGTTAAGGACCGGTTCACGGGAAACCCTGGGATACTTACCATGCTTACCACAAGCGGGAGTGGGTAACTGCTTGATCTGAGGTATAGCTCGACCCTTTCCTAGGCACCGGTGGCGAGGGTGGGCGTGATGGAGTTGGGTCGGCCGGGGTGTCCGGTTGTCCAGCTGCCGGATTCACCGCGGCGCAAGAGGGGACCGCCCACTGCCTTTTGAGGGGTGGGGGTGAAACCTTAGCGTGGTGTGGATAGTTAGGAGAGGGTTATGCGGAGGGTCTTGTCACGATTTCCCCCTTTGCAGTATCATGGTGATACTTTGGGGCATGGTGACATGTGTGGAATCGTGTCTTGTGGGTACAGTTGTACACCTCTGGCCAGACTAAAACTATTCGAATAGCCGTGCCCGCGGTTATGGGCGATCAATCAAATTCACCGTGATTAGTCTCACCCCTAGTTTAGCTTAATGAACTGGTGTAGTTCGGGTGGTTGGTTGGGCCTGTTGCAACATGGTGTAGCGTTGGACAGTGATTGGTTAATATTGATTAATTACTACAGCTGTTTTACTGCTTTCAACTACTGCTTTTAAATGCTAGTTTTATGCAAAAGAACCCCTAGCCTCCATTGGTTATATCCTGCATCGTACCTCCTTTTCCGGTATGACTTGCTGAGTACAGTGGGTAGTACTCAGTCTTGCTCTCTTTTCCCCCACACCAGAGTTGAAGTTCTTCTCAATTGGAGCCGTCTCAGAGAGGTTGGTTTCGTCACTGCCGTCAAGGTTTGCCTGTGGAGTGGAGTTGCCCGCTGCTGAAGTCAAGCTTCCAAGGCTAGCTCGTTTTATCTTTTCCGCTGCGTTTGTAATCTTTTATATTTTTGTAAGACGTGAATCTGTATGTCAACAATTGTCGTTTGTGTACCCTGGCTGGTCCTGGACAGGGGTTTAATGCACATTCAGCTTAGAAATTCTGGTTCGTGAATTTCTGGGCGTGACAGCCACCCTCCCTCGTCGCCCGCCCACAACTCCTCCCCCCACTGCCCGCGCGCTCCTCTGCCAGCCGTGCACCACCCCTCCCCCGCCGCCCGCAGCTCCTTCCCCCGCCACCACCGGGGGAGCCCGCGCACTGCTCCTCCCCCCGCCGCCCGCCCGCGCGCCGCCCTCCCCCACCGCCCGCCCGCAGTTCCTTCCCCCACCTTTGCCGCGTCGCCCGTAGCCGCCATCACCGTAGAGAATGGAGAGAGAGAAAGCTGAGGAAGGGAGAGAAGAGCGGAAAAGAGAGAGGAGGCTGATGTGGCTGTGGGGCCCACGTGGGTCCCATGCTGACTCAGCCGCCACGTCAGAGACAAAATCGGAGTCAAAACCACTGAAGGACCTCAAGTGAACGGTTTTATTAGTTGAGGGATGCCCGGTATGCGGTTGGGGGACGATTTTGTAACTCGGTGACAGGTTGAGGGACCTTAGGTGTACTTTTTCCTCCATCCTTTTATGTCTTCGGGGTTCAGGCCTTGACTTGCCAACGTATGAAATTCACTTTAGGTCTTTTAATTTGTTGCCGAGTCTAAAATTCATTCTTAAATTGAATACAAGATATGACATGTCCTCAGCTTACAAAACTAGTGCAAATAAGGTCCAAAATGGTTGGACAGTGGTTTTGGCTGATGTGACGCCTATATAGCGTTGACGTGGCACTTAAAATCAGGAAATCACGTGAGACCAACATGTTAGTGATAAGTGGTGGAGCTAGTAAAATTTTCAAGCCCGAGCAAACTTAAATATGTATAGTATTTGCTACAATATTTATAACTTTAATCCTTTCAAAACATTAAAAATTCAATGGTGTATTTGCCGGCGAGCCCGAACGGCTGCCCGGGCAAGCCGTGCGGTGGCTCCGCCCTGTTTGTGATGGTTGGGTTAAAAATAAAAAAATTGCAATGGGACACATGTCTCCTC